TTGTTGCAAAAAGCAAATACATTTCTGCAACAGTCATCTCTTTCCACCGGTGTAGTCTTGACTGTGGTGATATGATCGTATTTGCCATGGTGTACTCAAAATATTTGTTACTTTCCCTGACAATAGTTTCCATCAATGGCTGGTCAAAGAATAGTTCAAAGAATTCCAGTTCATTTGCAGTGTTTCCAAGGGGACAAGTAGGTAGAATTCCACTTTGAGAGTCATCAAAGTGGTGGGGCTTGGGAGCAAAATTGGGATTTTGCTGCCAATCCCACATACGGTTTGCTGGTGAATACTGGACATCATAGGCTGGTTGTGCAGGTAGTAGTGGTTGTGGTGGGCTGGTGGCTGATGCTCCGCTTTGTCCTTGAACTGTGGAGTCAGCAGCGTGGGGTGGTGAGTCACGCATGGCCGTGGCACTACCATCACCGCTACCACCATCAACTGATGCCTGTGGTCTATCCATGCCAAGTGTAGCCACATCATCCTCACTGTCACTGTCTATACCTGGTGTAGGGCCATGGGATGTACTCCGGGATGTACTCTGTCCCCTGGGTATGGCATAGGGCACACTACCCGAGCGCATGCGGCAGTGTACATACCGACGCTTCACTGGTGAATATGTTTCCTCACTGTCACTACTTGAATGATCGTCAAGAGCAATAAAATCACAATCCACGTCACTATCATCATCATTACTGAAGTCAGAGGCCTGGCCACGCGAAAATAATATTTTTTTCTTGCATTGAGGTACAATTGATGGTGACTGAGGAGTGCCCACACCAGAGGTAGAAGGTTGAGGATCGTCAGGGTTTTCTGCACTATTATCGATATCCTGGTCATTCCTTTCGGTCACTAACTGATCAAAGCCAAAGAATTCGTCTTCATTTCCACTTCCATCAGTGTCAGAACTATCAGATAGGAAGAGGAGAGTCCCAGTTTTCCTTGGAGTGAGAGCTGCTTTGCGACGAGGCATGGTGAACAAGGGTAACCGACCCGGCGTTCCCACAATGCTATGCGGGCGCCTAGATTTTTTGTTCATATCGCACGCCCACCACGCAGACCTGTTCTCTCACATGTAGGCCTATGAGCGTTTTCGTGCTAAATTTGACGGCGCTAGAATTTTGGCGTAGATCTATGGTTTGGGCACTCAATGTGAAGCCGTAGATCTACGGGACGGACCCTGAAAAGATTAATATGTACTATTATTATTTATAACATATATGTTATTAAATACCACTGCCTCAATTGCTGCCTCTACCACTGCCTCAACCACTGCCTCAACCACTGCCTCAACCACTGCTCAACCACTTCCTCAACCACTTCCTCAATCACTGCCTCACCCACTGCCTCACCCACTGCCTCGACCATTTCCTCAACCACTGCCTCATCTGCTGCCTCACCCACTGCCTCACCCACTACCTCACCCACTGCCTCACCCACTGCCTCATCTGCTGCTTCACCCACTGCGTCACCCACTGCATCGCCCACTGCCTCGCCCACTGCCTCAACCGCTTCCTCAACCACTGCCTCAACCGCTTCCTCAACCACTGCCTCTACCACTCCAGTCGCACTCAATCTACAAGCACCAAACACAATGAATTATTGTGAAATGTTTGGAAGAGCACGGAGACTAATGCTTACTCCAGCATAAACAAAGCCACACTGACGATGTGTCAACCACTCCCTTGTATTTTTGTACAATTTCCTTCTTCAATTCTATCATATTTATTATTATTATTATTATTATTATTATTTTATTATTATTATTATTATTATTATTATTACTGTTGTTATTATTAGCAGTAGCAGAAATGTTTGATTCTTTGCTGTGTTCAAGAGTAAACACATGATGTCACCATCCAATACCTGTCCGAATAGCCATTCCAATATGCAGTCATGAATGGGTTTACATTATTTATACTGTAGTTTAATAGCAGATAATGAACAAACAAAACACCACACTGGTGGGAGGGATGGCTGCCAGTTGCGGGGGTCGGAGGGTTGAGGAAGTGGTGGAGGCAGTGGTATTTAATAACATACATGTTATTAAAGCATAACATGTATGCATTTAGTACAATTTATGATGTTTTCATGTATTTTATGATTGTTCATGGTTCAACAAGTTAAGGAAGCAGTATTGTATTATATTTCCCTACAATATATTGGGGCACCAAACATTCGCGAGGCTCTTGATCCCCTAGCCCTCGCAAATGTTGAGGGAGACCTGTATTTATAAATAAGAAATATTGTATAAAAACATAATAAAACATAATACAGTGGACCCTCAGTTAATATTAATCCATTCTAGAGAGCTTGTCCTTAACCAGTTTTATCGTTATCCGAATTCATTTTCCCCATAAGAAATAATGGAAATCCAATTAATCCGTTCCAGACACCCAAAAGTATTAAAAAATATAATTTTTTCACATGACATATACATTTTCCTACACAGAAAACAATAAGATATGCAGGATAAATACATTAATAATTCATAAAATGACACTTACCTTTATTGAAGACTTAGTGATGAGATGGGAGGAGGGGAGAGGATGGAGGTGTATTATTGTTTGGAAGGGGAATCCCCTTCCATAAGGACTTTAGCTAGCAAGTCCTTTTCCGGGGTTACCTCCCATCTTTGTTTTTTAATGCCACTAGGACCAGCTTGAGAGTCACTGGATCCCAGTCACACCAAAAATCTGTCCAGAGAGCTCTGTTTCTGGTGTGTCTGTAAGACACAACATTGTCATTGTAAAAGTCACCAGCACAGCTTGCAGCAGCTGTGTCAAGGTGATGTTCATCCATAAAGACTTCCACCTTTGTCCACATTGTACAAATGTCAACTATCCAGTACAGTGGTCAGAATTTAGCAATTTTGCCAATTTCACACAAATTTCAAAAGATGCCAATTTCTGAATAGGGTCCAGAATAAACAAGAAAGACATTCCTGGCACTAAAATGACATTTCCTCTGTTCATTAGTCACGTCTCAAGGCCCCTCTTACATTCTTTTGCTTTCCACTTTGAATTTTTATTCTCGCAAAAAATAGAAGATTTACTGTTATGCAGACTACTGCATTAGTGTAAAAAATGGTATAAATAATATCAGCGCACTTGCAAAAGAATGTTAGACTCACCAGTTGACGTGTATTGGACGCTTGGCATGATTTGTTTACTTTTGAACTTTGGTAAAAATCGAACATTTCTGCTACTTTGAGCTCAATTTTAAGGTACTTTTCATTGTAAAACCAGTCAAAATCATCTCAATTTCTGTAATATGTCTTCCATTCTATAAATTGAGACCAAGAAAACTAGAATACAACAATAAATACCATATGAAAATACAGTGCAAAGTCGCTGTTTTATTCCAAAAAAACGGTCAAAGTTTTTTTTTCTCATTATGCACTGTGTGCTGCAGGATTTTTTTTTATACTGTGCACACTGACCACATAGACCCATTCTTTCATATGAAGGCCTACCAGCTTTCTCCCACTAGATTTGAGGGCGCTAGAATTTAGGCGTACTAGTACGTCAAAAACCCTGGGTCGTAAGCCGTACTAGTACGGCCGAAACCCTCAAAGGGTTAATTGTTAAAGAAGGCAACTTCCTCCATCTCTCTTCTCCCTCCTCTGAAGCAATTTCCTCATCTGTGGTCTGTTGCTGTTGCAGATGAAGATCTTGCAACTCATCAATGGTTAGCTCTTCATCGTTGTTCTCCACCAACTCTTCCACATCCTCGCCACTAATCTCCAACCCATAGACTTCCACAACTGGGGTATAGACTCCTCAGGGTTAGCCCCAAACCCTTTCAAGATCCCTCTGTTGTACACATTGTGGTCACACTTTTCTCCAAGCAGAGTTAAAAGTCCTCCAAGTCACTTCCTCCCAAGCCTTACCTATAAGGTTTATGCAGCTGAGGATACTGAAGTGCTCTTTCCAGAACTCTCTTAGGGTCAATTCAGTGTCTGAGGTCACTTGAAAGCACTTTTAAAACTGCGTTGATGTACAGTTTTTTGAAATTTGAAATGTTCGATTTTTGCCAAAGTTCAAAAGTAAACAAATCATGCCACGCATCCATTACACGTCAACTGGTGAGTCTAATATTCTTTCACTAGTGCGTTGATATTATTTATATCATTTCTACACTAATGCAATAGTCTGCATAACAGTAAATCATTTATTTTTTGTGAGAATAAAAATTCAAAGTGGAAAGCAAAAGAAATGTAAGAGGGGCCTGGGGACGTGACTAATGAAGAGAGGAAATGTTATTTTTGTGCCAGGAATGTCTGTCTTGTTTATTCTGGACCCTGTTTGGAAATTGGCATCTTTTGAAATTTGTGTGAAATTGGCAAAATTGCTAATTTCTGACCACTTTTTTGGATAGTCGAAATTCGTAAATTGGTGGTTTCTTGTACTCATTCGATAGAAAAAATTGAGTTCTAGCAAAATAGTTATGATTTTTGTTGACTAGTACATTGGAATTGGCCGAAAATAGGGCTCAGTGGGCGAAATTGCCAATGCGTAAACATCGTCGAGACCACTAACTTCACGAGAGCATAATTCTGTAAGTTTTCCATCAAATTTCACTCTTTGGTGTCATTATGATTGGGAAAAGATTCTCTGTCTTTTCATAAGAAAAAATAATTTTGTTTTTTTCCCGAAAAATTTTCGACCCTGAGAACAAGTTTAGGAGAGAGCCTCTCGACCCTGAAAGGGTTAATTGTGGCAACATTTTGCTCTCCAGGAACTTTTACCTTTTGTCTGTAATTCTACCACTATGACTATCTTGACTTTCAACTCACTTCTTCACCCGACTCATCCTCTGGCTTCCTTCGATTTTGTCTTTTATTCTTTACTTGATAATGGTTTAGGTTGGACCAAAATATCATCTAAAGTTTCGTTTCCAATTTTTGGATTGTTGTGAATTTATCCAGCCGTGATAATGTGACTTATTCTTCTTGAACATGAAATAATCAAGAATATTTTTTATATTGCTTACAGGTGGAGTCATCAGTTGTGAGAATAGAACCACGAAATCCAGTGCCAAAGATCAACTTTTCTGAATGGGATGGCCTTCTACGTATTGCTTTTGTTAGAAAAAACAAAACGCTTTCTGCTGCCTTCAAACATTCTTCTGTACTGCAGGTCAGATTTTAAATAACCAATTATATACACAACTTATATACAACTTAATCTGCTGTTTGCTAGTCTACAGATTTGTGGTTGGGTATAATTGTCATCTGTAGAAGGAAGACTGTAGACTGAAAATTTGGCTGCTTTCACTCAGTGGTTTTAACAAAACATCAATACTTTTTGGACTGAAGAAAGTAGTAATTTAAAAATATATGGGTGTGTAAAGGTAGAAAGTTCAAAGTGAACATAAGTAAGAGTAAGGTGATGAGGGTATTTAAATGATTTAGATAAAGAAAAATTGGATATCACATTTGAGGGAGGGAGTATGGAAGAAGTGAATGTGTTCAGATATTTGGGAGTTGACTTGTCAACAGATGGGTTTATGGAGGATGAGGTTAACCATAGAATTGATGAAGGAAAAAAGATGAGTGGTGCTTTGAGGTATCTGTGGAGACTAAAAATGTCCTATATAGAGGCAAAGAAGGGAAATATACAAGAGTATAGTGGCACCAACACATATGGGTGTGAAGCTTGGGTTGTAAATGCTGCAGCAAGGAGGCAGCTGGGGGCATTGGAGATGTCATATCTAAGGGCAGTGTGTGGTGTAAACATTATGCAGAGAATTCGTAGTGTGGAAATTAGGAGGAGGTGTGGAGTTACTAAAAGTATTAGTCAGAAGGTTGAAGAGGGGGGTTGTTGAGGTGGTTTGGTCATTTAGAGAGGATGGAACAGAGTAGAATGAGTTGGAGAGCATATAAATCCATAGGGGAAGGAAGGCGGGTTAGGGGTCGTCCTAGGAAAGGATAGAGGGAGGGGGTATTGGAGGTTTTGTGGGCGAGGGGCTTGGACTTCCAGCAGGCATGCGGCAGCATGTTAGATAAAAGTGAATGGAGAATAATGGTTTTTGGGACCTGAAGAGCTGTTGGAGTGTGAGCAAGGTAATATTTTATGAAGGGATTCAGGGAAACTAGCTAGCCGGACTTGAGTTCTGGAGGTGGGAAGTACAATGCCTTCACTTTAAAGGAGGGGTTTGGGATATTGGCAGTCTGGAGGGACATCTAGACTGTTGTATCTGAGCGCTTCTGCAGACAGTGATTATTATGAATGATGGTGAGAGTGTTGAATGATGATTAAAGTTCTTTTTTTCTTTCTTTTTGGGTCACCCTGCCTTGGTGGGAAGCGGCCGGCATACTAAAATAAAAAATGTAAATGTATTATCAATGTTTATGCTTTATCATAAATGTTTAATAATTTCCTATCCTTTCCAGACTTTAGAAAAAATTTCAAAACTTGGTGTTCACTACATGAGAAAAAGATACCTGAAGATTTTGTTATGAAGGAAAAAATTGAAGATATTCTGATTGATGGAAAGTTTGACAAGAAACGTGCAAGGCATATGGATCAAGATGACTTCTTATCATTGTTACATGCTTTTAATAAAGAAGATATTCATTTTGTATAGCTATTTAAATAGTTTTATATAGAGGATATATTTTTCTTATCACTTGTAAGGTCAATAGTGCAAGGCAGTTTGAAGTATTTACCAAGTACTAAATGTATGGGTCTAGTAGTTTATTTCCTTAGACTGACTGAGGAAACCTGAATTGCTCAAAGAACTAGTAATTTGTATAAAGAACAAGGTTGACTTTTTTTTTTTTTTTTTTTTCACATTGGCTGTTTCACACCAAAGTGATCCAGAGAAGGAAATAAACCATCACTCATTGTTTGGCTGCCTTTCCAGAGTGGTTTGAAAGTATGTTTTTGAAAGCAAAGGTGTTCATTGTCAATGGGACAGCCATAAGGATGCACTGTACAGCCTGATACTGTAACTAAGTGACAAGTTAACATGTGTGATATATCTTGCTTATCTCACTATTTATGTAGTACCTGTTATTTCTTATTTATTTAGCTACTTTTGTTATTAAATTATATTTGTGATGTTCTTTGTGTCTCATACAAACTTGCTCTTAAAAAAAGAAAAATACATAAAATTCAGTCTGTGGTTTTCGAAGATAACCATTTTTCTCATAATTATTTTTTCCCTACATATTATCAGTCAGTCTTAGTGACTGAAACCACATCTCCATTACTTGAGTAATGGCATCATAAGTTCTCAGGCTATTTCCTGTGATGATTAATTACCCATGAAAATAGTATGTATTCTATTTTTTTAACACTCAATATTAGCTTTAGATCTTTCCTTTTTTTTTTTTTAACATCAGCTGTTTCCCCACCAAGGAATTAAATAATATGTTATTGTATTGGATTGTATACAAAAGTGGAAATTGAGAATTTTTAACAAATATTTTAATTAAATTATATATATATTGGATCCAAGTCCTTAAGAGGCTAAAAATATTAAAAAAATGTTTATTGTCCCAAATGTAAAATAATAGATTATTAGGAAAAAAAATTCACAGCCTTTAAAAAATATAATTTACATACAAATTTAATTCTATGCAAACTAGTAGAGCAGTGCCAAATGCACTTTTTTATTTAAGCATATGGGCATCCAAAGCTAACACATCTGTAAAGTTGTAGTGACCTCTCATTTTGAAAAATGGTTATTCTGGAAAGTGGGGCCTCTTCAAGGGGGGCTCCTTGGCGTGGTGAAGAGGCTCTTGGTCTGAGGAATTAGCCCTGTCGGTCTTCTTCCTCGGGACCGAACCTAATTCCCCCCATTCTCCCTCCCCTATCCCATCCTCCCCATCCTCCCCTTTTCCATTCCTCCTCCTCCTCCTCCCCCCTCCCTTTTGCCCCTTCCTTTTTTTTAGCCTTCGTGATTTCCCCCACAGGCGTGCTAGTTCCTAGGTAGGGAAAGGACCCCGGGGGTCGATCCATTCCGTTGAGGTTTCTTGGCGGTGGCGTAGTTTGCCGTGGAATCTGGATTCCCTAGGGATGTCCCGATCCCTCTCCGGTATCCCGGAGTAGCTTTGGGTGTCTTTTGGGGGGAGGGTGTATCTCTGGAAGCCACCTTTCGGATTCCGGGGGTGGTGGTGAGGAGGTATGCTTTGTGGCGGATTTTCCCGGCCGCCCTCTCTTTTGTCCACCGGGGTTTGCTCGGCAGATGTGGGGGTTGCTATCCCGGATTGTGGTTTACTGGCATGAAGGGTAGGGTATGGCACGGGTTCCATGCTGCATCTGCGTACTAGCGGTGTCGAGCCCTCTTGGGCGCGGAGGGAGTTTTCCCGGCCCTTTCTTTCTCCTGGGAAACTATTCCTCCCCGCTCCCCCTTTTTTTTTTCTTTTTTTTGTTTTTATTTTCTTTTTCTTTCTTTTTTTTCTTAAAAACAAAAAGCAAAGGAGTAACCTAACCATGGCAGCCCTAGTCCATGAAACCACTACCCCCGGGCCCTTCTTGATACCGCACCCCATTTGACCCTGCCTTGTGTTTAGACCACTCTTCGGACATCCTGATGCCCCTGTCCCTCTTGCTGGTGCTGTTTCCTCACCGTTCAGGTACCGGGGCTTTGACTGATCCTTCGTTTTGTCTGAACTCCGCTTCCTTTGACTATGTTTCCCGGTTCTCCCTCTACGGTACGGCAATTTTCGAATCCCCCACCATTTCATGCCGGCCCAACCCCGGCCCTACTCCTAAACGCCAACGTCAATCTCCTGTGATGCTCCGTCGTTACCTTCCATTCTACCGGAAACGACCGACACTCAAGCACTCCTCTCCACGCTCATTTTCGGAACCACACAATGGACTAAATTCTTTACTTTAAGCCAAACTTCTTCTTCTGCCTACCTTTCTGACCATAGTATTCCCAAAAGCGCTCCTGCGTCATTTTGGCAGAGATATTTATTTCACGCTCTCAAGAGCGGTACGCGCATCGTCACTGCCCAGAATGCTACCCAAGTCATGATCTTTCTCTCCTTTCGAATATGTTTACTACCCCTACCCACTATTAAAAAAAATCTTTCTCTCAATTTTGTAGTGGTACTGTCATTCTGCCCCATACCAAGTCAACAGAATTTCCAGTAAATGTGGCAATGACATTTTTGAACAGCTGGAACTCCAGGATCTCCCAATCCTCAAAGTAGACATTTATGTCCTTCCTGCCCGGGGCGGAGCGTTACCCTTGCAATGTGGCTCGTTTAACTTTTGACAGCCGAGAACTCCGTCCTCTGTATATGTCGCGGGACATCGGTTACAAGTTCGAAAGGTGATTACCTACACCGCAACAATGTAGAAATTGCTGGCTTTTTGGTCACCCAGCGAAATATTGCAGATCTATGGCCGAATGCCCAGTCTGTGGTGCCGACAACATTCTAATTACATCTTGCAGTCAACCTCCATCTTGCCTTAATTGTAATGAAGCTCACCCTTCGTACTCCCCCCGTTCCCAGGTTATTTAAAATGAACGTGAAATCCGTTGCCTCAAAGAGGCAGAAGGTCTCCCTTATGCTATGGCAGTTACTCTCCGCCTCCAAGGGGACTACCCGTTTTTCTTATTCTCGTGTTTCCAACATCCCCCCACTTCTGGGGGCCCATCTTCTGCAGCCTCCTTGTTGTTACCCCTCCCATAGCCATTAGGGCATTAATCCTTTTGCTGTCCTTGGCTCTGACGTCCCGACTACAACTCAGTCTGTTCTCACATCTTCGCGTCCTTCCTCACAAGCCCCGTATCGAAAAGGGCCCTCGTACGACCCCTAATACCAATCGCCCTCTACTCAGAAGTCCAAAAACCCACATTGCTCAAATCTTCTTTGCCCTTCCTTCCCTTCTTCCACCCACACGTTACCTTTCCATTTCTCTGTACCTGTTCTTCCCCTCTTCTGGCTCTTTTTACAAGTGTGGAGTTTCACCCTCCTCCTGTACCCTATGCTTCCTCCCCGCCCCCTCCCAAGTTTCTCCTTTCTGTCACCTCCCAGGTTTCTACCTCTTCTGTCCCCCCCACACTTCATCTCCAGTCCCTTACACTTTTCCTCCCCCTCTACTTTGGTACAGTCCATTACTGTCCCAATCTTTACTCACCCTCCTCCTCCTATCCCCAAATATGGTTTCCCAAACATCTTTGAATTCAGAAACATTTGAAGCCATTTCAGATATATTGGCAGAGACTAAACCTTCAATGGACATGATTCACTTCCTGTTCCTTCTCTTCCTCTCCTCCATCTTCAAAACCCCATTCTTCGCAACGCTCCGTTCCTTCGCTACTTGAACATTTCCAATCCCACCACACGTTGATTTTTCTAACCCTCTAGTCGTAGGTGCCTTCCCTACAGATTCCTGATATTTCTTCATCGCCAATCATGGCCTTTTACAGGGGAATATCCGCGGCCTCAGGGGTAATCGGGGTGAGCTTCAGATGTTGCTTTCCAGGTTTTCCCCTGTTGGTGCTTGCTTACAAGAACCAAAATTACACTCGGCTGTTTCCAACCTATCTCAGGCTATAATTTATTGTATTCTTCGGATCCTTTTCAGATGGGACCTTTAATGAAAGTGCCCTTCTTCTACGCAATGATATTCCGTACTGTCAACTATTTGTCCATACCTCGCTGCATTAAAACTGCAGCCCGTATCCACTTAAATAAGTGGTTTACAATAGTTCTTTATATCTCTCTCCTTCTCGAGCATTTTCTACCCCAGACTTTGCCTTTCTTGTTTCTCCTTACCACCACCACTTCTGTTACTTGGTGATTTTAATGCCCACCTTTTCCCTTTCTGGGGGGGGTCTCATTGTGACTCACGTGGCATTCAGTTGGAGGCTTTTTCTTGCCTCTCCCCCTCCATGTTTTAAATACGGGTACTCCCCATTTTGATCCTCGTACTCATTACTCTCTCTTGCATCGATCTATCAGTCTGCTCTTCCTCCACAGCACTAGACTTCACCTGGTTGTTCTACCAGACTTAACTTGACAGCGATCTTTTTCCCGATCATTCTTACTTCTCCTTCCTATTCACCACCTTCCCGTAGCCCTCGCTGGCAATTTTGATCGGGCAAATTGGGATCTTTACTCACACCTCACTGCTTTTAGTGAGGTTCCTTCTTCATCCCCCATTGATGAGCTCCTACACATCTTCTCGACATCAGTTTTTTACCGCGCTTCTCATTCTATACCCCACCCTCAGGCAGGCATTCTCGGGAAGTGCGTGCCTTGGTGGTCTCTGCTTGTGCTCGTGCAGTACGTTTGAAACGTGCTGCATGGGGCAGGTACCGGTACAATAGAACCGCTGAGAGACTTGTTGTTTTTAAAGCAGAAGCGTGCGATTGCTCGCCGTGTCTTCCGTGAAGCTAAACGCACTTGTTGGCGAGACTATTTTTCCACCATCACCTCTGCTTCTTCTATGAGTGCAGTCTGGAAAAAGTGAGGAAATTGAGTGGTAAATACTCTCCTGACCGGTCCTGTTCTAGGGTCATGGTGTTGATTTTAGCAAACCCTCTCGACGTTGCCATTGAACTTGGCACACATCTGGTCCGTATTTCCCGAGGGCTCCATCTATGCCCCTGTTTCTTTCCTCAAAGTCTGCCAGAGAGTTAGTACCCTTGGACTTTTCTTCTCTGGAGAAGAACGTATAATGTGCCTTTTACACTTCAAGACTGGAGGCAACGCTCTCAGCTTGCCGATCATCGGCAGCGGGGCCCTGATGACATTCATATTCGTATGTTACAACATTTACATCGGTCAGCCCTTGAGTCCTTTACACCTCTTCAATCTTATTTGGGCACAAGGAGTTCTTCCCCAGCTGTGGAAATCTGCCATTGTTCTCCTTTCCGCAAACGGGTACTACAGGACATGATGCCTCCCCCTATCGCCCCATCGCTCTTACAAGTGCAGTTTGCAAAGTGATGGAACGCCTCGTAAATCGACGTTTAATGTGGTATTTAGAAGACTCACAACAGTTTTCCCCGCTAGTCATATGGCTTTCGTTAAGGGGCGTTCTACCTAGACCCCTTACTACGCTTGGATACGTATGTTCGTAATGCCTTTGCGAATAACCACTCAGTTATTGCCATATTTTTTGACCCTTGAGAAGGCTTATGACACAAC